ACCAGGGTAGGGTTCAGGGGTACTATTACCTCCTCTTGTCTGAACATTATACTTCTATTAAAAATGGTGATGTTACTTTTGACCACCACATCACACTTCTACAAGGCTCACAATCCACTAAAATTTCCAGGTCTTTTCCATATAAATTGCTTTCAGTTTATGTCCCCCATGCCTATTCTGTATTTATGTGGTTGAATGGTTTTGTTTTTTATTTTTACCAAAGTTCAGCACTTTTTATTTAATTCTCCCATTTTGTTATCTTCAACCTACCATTCCAGCTGGTCAGAATCCTTTTAGATCCTGATTCTGTCATGTAATATGTTAGCTAACCACATAACTTTTGTTTCATCTGCAAATATGATTCCTTTCATACCTTAATTTAAGTCACGTATAAAAATGATAAATCAAATAGAGCTATGTATAGGACCTTAGACTGCCCCACTAATCAACATTGTTTGGGTCTAGTCAATGAAATTATTTAAAACCGACCTAATGATACTATATTTCTTGTCATATAGGTATCATGAATACTATTCTGAAATCCAAATATACTATGTACAACCCTGATAAGCTGCACATGTACACATACACACACACACACCCCATTTCTCTTATAATCTATTCCAAAATTTTACCAACAGTCATCGTCATGTTCATTGGCCTAAAGTCTGAAGTAATTTACCTACTTACATTTTTTAAAATATTAAGACATTTGCTCTTCTGCAGTCCTGAGGTACCTGTCATATTACCCATATTTTCCTCAAAGATAGTTCAGCAATCACATCAGTAAGTTTGTTCATACTCTGAGGTCTAGTTTGCACCAGGTGACTTGAATTCATTGAGGGCAGCTAGGTGTTCTCTTAGTATCCTCTTACTTAGTTTGGTTTTCATTTCCCATTTTTGTTCTGTCTTTCCTGGTCTGAAGACAGTTCCTCCTTGATAAAGACAAGAGAAGCAAAATTGGAATTAAAAGTTTTTGCCTTCTCTTCATCATATTATTGTCCCATCTATAATCAGAGATCTCCTTAATTTTCTACTTGCTTTCAATACTGCCTTCCAAATCAAAAGCACTGGTACTATTGTCATACTCTTATCTTTAGTATTTGTCATAAGCCTCAGTTCATGGTGAACATTAATTCCCAGCAACTCTTCTTATGGGATTTTTTTGCATTCTTCTTCAGTTACTTGTTCTTGCTTTGATTTCTTGTATATGTCCTTCAAAAATGTAAATTGGCCAATGAACTGTCTTTTTTTCCTCACTGAATCATCTGTAAAATGAGAGCATTGAACAAAATGATCTCTATCATCCCTTCCAGCTATAAATCCTATGAAAAGTTATCAATCAATCACAATTTCATCATAAGAATTTCAGTTTTGAGAGTCTCCAACTCCTCTTGAGCTTCCTTCTCTTTTAGAGGCACAGGCCACGAGATCCTACTTATTTGCTACCTTTGAACACTTATAATTATTGCCTAAAGACTAGAGTATTCATCAGATTACATCTTGCTTTGCCCTTGAGGAAAGGGTAGCAGCCTCCCAATACGCCCATCATTTTCACTTCACCCACTAGTTCCTCATTACTGGTCAAAATTATTACCCCTCTTTGCTTTCCTTACCTTCTGAAAGATAAAACCATTTATGAGGCAAGTTCAAGATTTCTCAGCTAAACTGTTTTTGGAAGAGGAAGACCTCCAGAAATTAGCTGGGTGGATTGTCATGAACCAGACCACCTAAATTTTTCAGTCTGTCAATTTCTACTAAAATCTCTACTACTTTTGCCCATGGGCATTTATTGATTATATAACTTAAGCTGATGGCATCTTATCTTCACAACCAAGCTGAAAATTTTCCAAAGGCATAGAGAATAACTCTGAATTTCTGATTTCTGTCACTATACTCCAAACCATAGGCTATGGATAAGTACCATGTTAAATAATTACAACTGTCCTGGGAGTTGTTCCTAGCATCTCCTGTGACTAGGGAAGAGATATAAACCATATAGTCAGAGCATGGAAGGAAAACTTCCCTGTAGTAATGAAGACAAACCCTCTAAGAGGACAACAGGAACAGCCCATGCTTACAAAAATCTGGCCTGTGTAGACAAGAAGACCAAGGAAGATTGTCACAAGTTCTCTGACTTGTTTTGAAAATGTAGGTGTAAATGTCGTATCTTTGAATTTCTTGGTGATCACACACACACAAAAAAAGGTCACCACCCTCAATGAACATAGTAAACTGAAAATGAGGAGTTTTGCAAAATTTTCCTTGGAGGCAAAAGTGGAGCTCTTTTCACACATGTATGGAGTTTTATTTCAAGCAGCCAATTGTCCAGACTGGTGTGATGCTAGTGAAAGTACTAGCACAGACTAAACACAGAGCACAGAATTAAACAGGGGACAGAGGGAAAAGTGATAATGCCTCATAGGGCCAGAATAAGGAGTGATGGGGGGAAAATCAGGAGGAATACTTGTTGACACCCAGATATGGAAATCCTTCTCAAGTTATAAAAGTGGTCCCCATTTAAAATGGACTATCTTGTATCTTGGGCTTTTGCTCAGCATTAGGAAATACATAAATAAATATACAATTAACAATATACAATTAACAAATGGTTCTATGTATGGAGACAGTTACTGCTGCCTTACATGTCAGAGATGAGTAACCGTTAAGAGTTCAATAATCCAGGAGGTTGTCTTGATTTATTCCACTATCCATAGAATTCAGGCAGTGTAGCCTGGGGCCTGGAGCAAGAGTAGCATGGATGAGTCTAGTAAATGCTTTGTACTTATGTGCAATGCTGACTTGCAGTCTAAGTAAAGGTGGGCAGTCTTGCATATTTCTTTGTTGAACTCACAACCCAAAAAGATGTTTTAGGTCCTTTGAGTAATTACACACTTTGTTATGGATGTCTTTTAGGGTACATGCTGAAAATATCTTTGTTGTGATCTGTCCATTGCTACGCTTTCTGCAGAATGCTTTTTCTCCAGGTGTATCAGAAATTTTGTTATTATAGCTCATCATTTTATCCTATTTGACCTTTTCATTTCATCGAATGGGCTTGACTATAAAAAAAAAATTCTAAAAGGAAAACACATTTTAAAGAATCACAACATTATATGGCAAGATATTTATCTCATAGGCATTATAAAGAGGCTGAGGAGTTTAGAATAAAATTTAAAAGGTATATGATTTAACACATTGGAGCACAAACTGCTTAAGAAGCATTGCAGCTAAATGAAGAAACTAAAGAATTAACATGTAATAACTGTATGCCCAGCTGTGAAGATTGAATTAAAATCTACCAATATGGGTGTGGGTAGTGTTCTAGTTTAAAAAAAAAAGGTATGTGATATTTCTTAACTTTTCCAATACAGATTTAATAGTACACAGCTCAACAAAGAATGCATTTTTCCCCTAAACTGAAGTGCTAGTGATCATGTGAAAAGAAGGTGATACATTAATTAAAACTGATAAAAGAAACAAACTTATTATATCTAAAGATATGGCTTTCCATTAAGTATGTCTGTAGGCAGCTTCAGCAGAATTCATACCTTACTTCTCCATTCTGTAAACTCAAGATGCCACTGCATGATATTGTGTTCTGTTAAGGAACACTTCTATTTACTTACTGTAACCTATTATTTGGGGGCACTAAAACTATACTTTTACAAAATATGGCTGTACTCACTTAAAGGAAAACTACATGAGGGAATCCACGTTTCTTTGAATCATAAAGTGTGCTGAAAGGTAATGGCTCTTTTACTGGGTAATCTTCCACTCTGCAGGAAGACCCTTACTATAAAGAATTTATAAAAGGTACTTCCTAAACAGAAACTTTGGGACTTTAAATAAACAAACCATTGGCTAAAACATAACACAAAGTAAACCTCCTTGGCAGGAATAGTTGGAAGCTTGGATTTGTAAAACAAAATGTTTATAAAGACAGCTATATATAATAGACTGAATATAAAGGATCAGGCTATACATAGGATATATCTCCCTTTCCCATTGACCTAGAATCATAGAATTTTAAAACTGTAAAGGACCTTAGAGATCAATGGTTTTGCATTAAATTTTCAGTTTCAGTGTAAGTTTTTTTTTTTATTAATTTAGAACAAATTTCATATTAATAGGAAATTATCATGTTTCATTTAAGCATGGGACTTCAAAATTCACAAAGTGATTTCTACTATATATTTGGTTAAAATTTATTTCTATTAGAATACATTTCCAATTTTATAATGGAAGTCAGTGAATAAATGTCAATCAACTTTAAAAAATGCATTCATCTTTTCATATGTATACATGTTTATGTGTTATACATGTATATACATATGAATATATATAATATACAAATTCTCTGACTATCATAGATAGTCAGCAGATATGAATTTGTGATGAACTGAGTATACAGAAAAAAGATCTGGGTCATTTAAAAAAAGGACGGGATCAGATAACAATGCATGCATGACCTTATACATTTTAGGACCGCTACTGAAAATAGTGTGGGACCTGGAATCAGGAATATTTCAGTTGAAATCCTGCCTCACATACTTCCTGGCTATGTGACCTTGGGCAAGTCCTTTAACCTCTGTCAGCCTCAGTTTCCTCATCTGCAAAATGAGGGAGTTGGATTTGATGGCCTCCAAGGTCCCTTCCAGCTCTAGATCAGTGATACTATGGTCCCTTGTGGACATGCCCTAATGCTGAAATGGAAAAGCAAGCTTGAAGAACACACAAGGGGGAGAATTTTTTTTTTTGCATTGGAAGTAGCATTCTTCATAATGATCAAATTATCAGAAGTAGTGTGCCATGCTGCTGCTTTCCTGCAGAATTAAGGGTGGATTCGTGTATTCATTATATTCACACCCAGTTATAAGAAGCTGATGAAAATCCCATAGGATTGCTTCCATTTTGACAAGCCCCATGCATGAATTTGCAGTTTTTTGATTTTTACAAAAAGGATATCTAACAGTGATTTTTTTCCCCCCTTTTAACAGATAATACTGAAATAATCAGCAGAAATGGAATGGAATGCCAAGAAACCGCATTGAGAATAACAAAACATTGTTACTGTACATACTATCCTGTTTCCTCCTCGATAGAATTGCCACAAACTGCATGCTAAATAAAAATGTAGTTCTTCCGGACAGATCACAAACTCTAAGAAGCTAGTGCTGCTATATCATATATGAGTATTAAATATGGTATGCTTAGTATATTCCAACCTAAAATAGTTAACTACCTGATGCCAGCTGTGATGTTTAAAGACATAAAGGGTAAAGTTTACTTTCAAAAGTTCTCTAAACATGGTTTTCTGTCCTAGGGAATATTGTCTTATCTCCATAACTATAGCTGATGCAGAAAGCCCAACCAATTTCTTCTTTTCAGACTCAGAACATTTCAAATTTAGCAATAATCAGTTTGCATTGGTTCCAACCTGTCCCAAGTACAGGTTAAATTCTCACTCGAATTATTATCGTTTCCTTTGCCCACTTAATCAAAGGGTAAGTGTTCACTTCTCAATGAGATGATGCTGCAGCAAAGAAAGAAGTGAAGTAAAACTAAGACCTGTCCTACAGGTCTCAAATTCTAATGGAAAATCCAAGGACAAGCACAAGTTCTGGGGATGCATCAAAAGCATAGTGTTTGGCTTGCCTGGAGATGCTGTGTTGAATCATGTGATTCTAGTATAAAAGAAATAGATTAAAAGAAACAAAAACTTTGCACGGTATGAGCTTCATACCCCCAACCAACAAAGTCTTGAAGGTATTATTTTACAAATATATTTTTAATGTTCTTTTATAAGAGAGACTTTGCAGAAGTGCCTAAATTTTGCCAGACTTCATCCAGCTTGAAGGAAAGGAGGCCAATGCCAACAACCTAATCTAAGTGATTAGTCTTTCAAACTCACCATCCAGTTGCCTGTCACAGAATAACACTTTGAAACTAAAGATGTACGTAGTAAAATAAAGAAGCTGTAGGTGAGGAGATCTGTATAATATTCTAATTTAAGTAAATCTGAGGTTAGTCACTTAAAATCTGACTGTGACTTTAATCTAAATTACTATGTAAACAAACAACAAAAAAGTAGATAGTTTCACTTTTAAAAATCCATTACTGTTTTACATTTTAAAAGTTGAATTAAAGGGTTGTAACTGACTACAGCATGGAAAAATAGTTCTTTTAATCTTTTCACCTTAAAGCATATTTTATGTCTCAAAAATATAAAAAAAACCTTTAATACAAGTACATACATATTATATATACACATACATATATACTATATATGGATGAAACAGATTTTAATGTTGTTTACTTTTTTAAATACTTGGTTGATCTTCAAGGTTATAGCGATACAATTAAATTTTGTTCAGAAAGTTTGTTTTGAAGTTTATTTTAAGCACTATTGTACCAAATATTTCATATTCCACATTTTATATGTTGCACATGTCCGATACAATACCTACATAGTCTTTAAATTATTGTTTCAAAAACAAAACAGCTGTAATAAATGAATATGATGTGTAATTGTTTAAAACATCCCTTTATTTTGTGAGCATATTAGTGATTGCAGTATTTTGACTTAAACTTTTCAGATTGAATGTAAAATATTTTAAATGTTGGCATCACTGCCAATTCTGAAAACTAGAGACACTAACTGTGTCATGATTTGTCTCAAAAAAGATCTGCCATTTTAACTCATGTTCCTCAGAGTCTAATTCCTATCTATTTATATTAAGTCATAGATTTGATCACCCTAAGGAGAAAAAAATCACATCTAAATGTAATCTAACATAGTGCTTGTACTGTTACATTTGTTTTAATTTGTGGGAAAATATTGTATCTAAACTTTTATTACTTTGGTAGTTTTACCATTATATACTATTAGTATTTGTAATTTTTCTCAATTCTAACAATGTAGTTATGCTACAACTTGCCTATAGCATTCAAGGTTGTTTTTGTTCATTTTTTTTTAATACTTGTTAATTTAGATTCCTTGAAAACTTAGTACACATAACTAAAAGGTAAATTATGAGCATCACTGAAATATTTTTGTAGACTACTTGTTATAACATTGTCTTTCATCTTATCGTTTCATAATTTTGATTTTTTAATGACTATTGTATAACTGTTTTCAGCCCTTTAAGGTAAACCATCGAAAGCATCACATATACACATCCCAAGAAATAGAAAAGACTGTATTTTTAATAAGATATCCATTTTCCAGAATTTGTGACTATATTATGCAAAAGGACCATAAGGATACCATTTACAGTAAGGAGGAGGCAAGGCAATTACATAGATGTACAAATATATGTACAACAGATTTTGCTTTTTATTTATTTATAATGTAATTTTATAGAATAATTCTGGGATTTGAGAGGATCTAAAACTATTTTTCTGTATAAATATTATTTGCCAAAAGTTTGTTTATATTCAGAAGAGTCTGATTATGATGAATAAATCTTAAATGCTTTGTTTAATTACAAAAAAAAAATCACCAGAATCCAAGATGAGAAAATATCAATTCAGTAAATGCTGTGGTTAAGAGACTGGATCTCCACTTATTTTGAGAACAGCATTTCATTATTGGTTTTCAGTCATTTAACATCACTTCACCAAAACATTCACCTCAATCACTCCACTGACAACACTTCTACTAAATCTTTCAGTAACACTTACCGAAAACCCTCATTCATTACCTTTCCATGTAAACAGAAGTCTAATTTGTATCAATTCTATGTTTCAGTTGTAATATTGAGTTCACTCACCCAATGTGCAACCAATGAAATAAAATAAGCATTTAAAAATGATTGTATAGTTATTCTTCCTTTCCATGCTGAGACAAATTGACCAAATCCAATTGGATGAAAGTTTGTCATCTGCAGCCAAGGGTGGGGGGCAAACCTTAGTGCTTGACATACTCTTAGGGTCTTCAACAATTCAACAGATGTCAACATGAAAGGCAGTTTTCTGTGTGCTGATCTGGCTGGGCTGCAATGGGCATGGTGTGTACATGTCTGTTTTAAATTTTAAAGGGCACATTTTGGATGAGTTTTGATGGTGTTTGTATTATGATGGTGATGATAATGATGAATCAACCAACTAATAAATGACAATTTGTTAAGTGTCTCCAAAGGGCCTGGCATTGGAAGATGCAAAGACTTGCCCCCAAAGGCTTTAGATTCTGTTGGAAAGGAAACCTGTTCATATACAAAATAAATATAGGGTAATTTTAGGAGGGAGGAACTAGCATCTGGAAGAGAACTGGACAAGCATACAGAAATGTAATGTAGAAACAGGGTATGTAGAAATCTGCCTACAGTTTTCAGATGTTTAAGCATATTCCTTATAGGAGCCCATGAAGAAGATAGGATTAAAAATAAATATGGCCAGGTTTGGTCGTGCACTCTGGTAATCCCCACTCCGCTTTTGGTGTTGGTGGAGGGCTTGAGCTCTGGAGCTCTGAGCTCTCGTGTGCTAAGGCAAAGCGCCAGTCAAGGATCCATGCAGATCATGAGTGGACTCAGGCCAAGAGTAGCTGCTGCATTTTCATTAAGGATGACATGGGGAGACTCAGTCTTAAAAAAAAAAAATTAGGGAACTTCCTGTTTCTTATAGCTGTCAGCATATTGCTTGGGAGCAGAGAAAACAGGACTATTCAGAGTATCACAGATACTCAGTCATGTTTGTTTCTTTTCAAAGCAATTCCTGCAGAAATATCCAGAGATAAAAATAATTTTTGATAAACAACCCTGAATATGTGAAAAGTCAGATGTGTGTGTATCAGTCATAATGAATGAAATAAATGTTATACTCTCATAGTTCCTGTTTCCAAGTAGAATTACTAGAAATGAGACTAAGTTCAAGATAATGTACTCAATTAGTTGATATCTAAGATGAAAAACGGTAATTATGTAATTATAGTAAATTATATCTTAAATTTGTAAAGGCTACTCTAATAAAATGGGGCAGCTAGGTGGTGAAGTGGATAGAGTGGGGGCCTGGAGTCAGGAAGACTTACCTTCCTGAGTTCAAATGTAGTCTCAGATGCTAGCTGTGTGACTTTGGGCAAGTCACTTAATCCTGTTTATTTCAATTTCTCATCTGTAAAATGAACTGGAGAAGGAAACAGCAAACCACTCCAGTATCTTTATCAAGAAACCCCCCACAAATGTCAGTCAAACATAACTGAAAAACAAGAACTTTAACTCTAAAGTAATCTTTATCAACAGCCTGGCATTATTTGGCTGAACATCAAAATCAAAAGTTAAAAAAAATGTTAAAATGATTTCTTTCCCTTGGTGTGAAATTGAATTAAGTAAAACTATCACTGAGCTTAATGGCCAAAGAAAATTATTACTGGTATTTTAATACTGTTATAATTACTTAAAGAATATACTTTTGTTATTAGCCCTAGATATTTATGCAATTACAACTTATATTAGGAAAGTCCCAGGTGCTTCAGCAAGCCAAACACAAAAATAATGACATATTTTGATATTCTAGAGAAAATAAAGAGAACTCACCTTGTTAACATTCTTCCTTACACATACCCCTTCATTTCTGGCATGGTCAGCTGCCCCAACTAGCAAATTCTTAACCCTGGTACCGGAGGAATGAGTTTCTCCCCACCCAGCCCTTCCACCTGTCTCCAGAAGAATGATATTAACCACACAAAGTGAACGTTAGTATTGACTTCTCTCTTTGTAGTGGTGGCTTGGATAAATGTTTATCCTGAAAGTTTCCCTTTGTAAACTGTTTAAAGTATGCTAATCTTTAATCATCCGCATTATTTTTTTAAAGTCATTTATAGGAACAACTTTTGGGTCAAGAGACTCCTAACATTGCTCTAGACAGAACACCACAGAACAAGATAAAGAGGCAGGAACTCATTTGCGTTTATTACATTGGTGTTGTTATGTCTGACTCTTTGTGACCCCATTTGGAATTTTCTTGGCACAGATACTGAAGTGGTTTGCCGATTTCTTCTCCAGCTCATTTTACAGGTGAGGAAACTGAGGCAGAGTGAAGTGACTTGCCCAAGTGACTCACACAGCTAGTGTCTGAGACCAGACTTGAACTCATAAAAATGAATCTTCCTGACTCCCAGCCCCGCACTGTATCCACTTCACCATCTAGCTGCCCCATTTATTACATAAGTCATAGATTTAAAGTGACCTCAAAAGCCTTCAAGTGTGAGCCCTGCTTTTTTTACAGATAACATAGTTAAGTAATTTGCCCAAAATCATACAAGTAATATAAATACCTAGAATTTAAACCCATGCTCTGAATCTAAATTCACTGTACCATGCTGTCTCTCCCATAATTTCTCACAGTCTCTGAAGGCCACATGCAGCCTTCTGTTCTTACAGAACAATTGTAAAGGCCTTCTAGGTCCTCAAGTACGGCCCTTTGACTGAGTCCCAGAATAATCTGTAAAACTTGGACTCAGTCAAAGAGCCACACTTGAGGACTTATAAGGTTGCATGTGGCCTTGAGGCTGCAGGTTCCCCACCCCTGTTTGGCCTTTGTTTTCAAGAATCCCTTAACTAAGTCATTTAGAAAGTGCTTTCTGTGAAATAGGAGCAACACTAGGATGAGGTATGGTTAATTACTGTCTGCAAAGCTCTTGGGAATTGTAAAGTGGTGAGCCCTGTTATTCATCATTTAGAACCAAGCCGACTTCCTTAACAGAACAACAAGCTACAGAATTTTTTTCCTCTTTTCTCCAATGCCATTCAAATCAACAAACACTTATTAAGTCCTACTAGGCACCCTCTCCCCCAGACTAATCTATCTTTTTACCTAGTATTATCAGTAGCCTCAATTGTTCCCTGTGATCCAAGTGAAATCAATTACCTTTGCCCCATACAGTACTATTAAGTAGATTTATAACCTTCTACATCATAGAGAAGCATAGCTCAAGAGACCAGTCAAAAAGCAACTCCCAAGACTGATAATGCTCCTGGATGAGGGTCTAAGTTGAAAGATGTACTTTAACTCCAACTTTTCCCAAAGTAATTGAAATATAATATCTTCATGTGTGTATGCATGGGCATGCTTATATATAAATATATATATATAAACTTTGTATGAATGAAGGGGAGTTAAATGTACCATCCCTAGTGGGTAAATCAAAGATTGCATAAAGTAAGATTTGGGGGAATGAAGCAAACTCATAGGAGAAAGTGTCACATTCACATTGTAATAATCACTTTGGAGAAACTGGCTCATTACATATATATAAATACTATATAGAAAAAATGATCACTTTGCTAATCAGACTGTGGAAAAACTACAGTTTTTTAGTGCACACTATCTTTTAATAAAAACATTGATTTTCATAATGATAAGGTATAGCCTGGAATAGTGGGTAAAAAGCTGACCTCAGAGTCAGAGCACTTAGGCTCAGGTCCTATCTCTGATACACCCTCATTAGAACTTCACCTCTCCCCAATCACTTAACTTTTCTGGGTCCCCATGTGATTCTCTAAGACTATAAATTGCAGAGAAGGGTAGGATAAGCTTCTACATCTCCCTGTATGCTATTAAACGGTCAGCTAGTTCAAGATTCTGAAAGGTCAGAAAAGGAAAAGCTCACAGCCTTTGTGGTCATGGAAAGGAGGGTGTTGGAATAAATGATGTCCATGGTCCTTCTAAGCTCTCAATCTGTGATGCTATGAACTAAAAGATAAATTAACTTCTTTTATTTCCCCATTGACATGTACTTCCTCATTCTAGCTGAAGACTTTCAAAACACAAAAGATACCCATCTTGTTCTCTTGATGGAGGCAAAGTCAAAAATGGGAATGATCTAGTAAGGAGAGATGCCAAGACAATCCATCAGAGCCAAAGGCAAGGTCAGTCATTTATGGGAGCCCGGAGGATCTGCAAGAGAAGTGACCTGTGGAAAATACAGAAAGAATGAGGAGTTCTTGGGAAAGGGAAAGGCAGAAGACTATCAGCAAACTTTCCAGATTCAATCCAACAGGTTTGAGGTGTCAAAATATGTTATGGGCCATTGCCACTGCTTTTTCATTAAGAATAAACACTTCATTTCTTCTCTGTCTCTCCAAAATAAAACAAGATTACTACCAAATTGAAATCTCTTTAACTTTCAGATGATTTGTAAAATGACCTTCCTATTTCTCTGATTTTTTTACCTCCTTTTATTCTGATTTATCCAAGTTATTTTGCTTGCTATCCTCCACATCTGACTTTCTCATTTCCATTTCCAGGAAGGGGAAAAGAAAGGGAAGGGAACTTTTTTAGGTATCTACTATGCACCATGCACTGTGCTAAGCACTTTACAAATATTATCTAACTTTTACCCATAACAACTCTAGAAGGTAGATGCTGTTATTGTCTCTATTTTACAATTGAGGAAACTGAGGCAGACAGATGTTAAATGACTGTCCCAGGGTCATATAGCTAGTAAGTGCCTGAGCCTGGATTTGAACTCACAATCTCCCTGACTCTGGGCCCAGCTCTTTATCTGACGTAGCTGCCCTCAGGCAGAGTAAGACATAGTCAGAGAAGGCTTCTAAAGGAAATAGTACTTAAAGGAGGCAATAAATATGAATAGGTTGAAAGTAAAGGTATAGCATTCTAGGTTTGAGTCAGGGCTAGTGAAGAATGAGCAAAATCAGGAATGAGAAATGTGCGTAAGGGTAAAAAAATAGCTGGCCTGGCAGCATCAGAGAACCTGGTGACCTAGATAGCTTCCTTTCTGCCAATTTTTCTCCATTATCATCTTCAAGATAAATTCTATAATTTACTGCTCCCAAGAAATGTTTCCTGATTAACTGTT